GACATATACTATGACTTTTTAATTATATTTTCGACATATACTATGACTTTTTAATTATATTTTTGACATATACTATAACTTTTTAATTATATTTTTCGACATATTATACTATGGCTTTTTTTTTGTTCGAGATAGTATATTATTACTTTTTTGACATTTCATAAGTTAATGATATTTTTCGATATACTATACTATGACTTTATTTTTCATATGTTCGACGTACTATACTATTACTTCTTTACACATATTTAATGCTGACCTTTTAATCATATTTTTTTGACATATGACTTTTTCTTTGTTCGACGTGCTATAATATGACTTTTTTCAACTATTATAAAATTACCTTTTATGAATTTATTTGTATGACTTATTGTGACTTTTTTCGACATACCGATGACCTATTTTTGACTTTATTCTCGACATACTATACTGTGACTTATTTATAACATTTTTTCGACATTGAAATAACATTTATTTTACAATAAATGTTGTAATAGCTCTGTACAAGATGAAGAGGAATTCATCTTTGACAGTTAAAGGAGTTTGAAGTTTGATCTTTTTGTTTCACCTGTTGTCACTGCACAGATGGAGGCAGAGCAGGCATGCGCAGTCTGGTCCCTGCATCTTCATGAAGAAATCATATTTCATTCTTCATTACTAAAAAATGTTCCGCTCTGCTCCATCATGCTCGCGGGAGTTAATCAGAACTGTGCCGGAAGTATAGAATCTATCTTTCAAAATAAAGGTTACACTGAAATGGCTACAGTTTAAATATTCACCATTATCTCAGTTTGAGGGGCGTAAAGAGATTTGCACAAGCAAGTCGTTTACATTTACTGTATGGCCAAAAGTATGTGGACATTTTCCATACTGACTTTTCTTTGACATAGAAATAACATTTATTTTTACAATCAACACTTGCAAATGACAAGGTAGTAAAAACATAAACGGTACTTTAGTATTTCATTGACTATTACTTACCTAGAAGGAAATAGATCAAATGAGAAGAGAATGGAAATACAAACTATACAAGAGCAATGACACTAAACATTTACAAGGGAAAAAAGTAGTCCTCGCCGTTTTACTCTGAAAGGGTACGCCGGAAGCTCGTTGCTGTACGTCAGCCAGCTTGTCGCGTGGCTCTTGGTGTGTTCTGGCATCGAGTAACGGAGCGATGTCAGGCGTCTGACCGACGGGACTGAAGGGATTGACGGGGTTTTGACATCAGACCGGACCCCTCTGGGATGAGGTCTGGGTGAGTAGAATCACACCTGACTTTAATATTCAACCATTATTCTCAAATTGATAAAACCCATAAAACCTCACCGTGTTTACAAACGTGGCTTAACGAGGTGTGATGACGGCTGCAGCCTGTTTTCACACGACGACTGCCGTTTAAAAACTCATATTATCACACATTAGGACATTTGTTTGATCTTCAGAAGATGTAATTGTCTGTCTTGTTTTCCTCTGCGGTGTTTTTAAAGGCTAAAATTCAGAAAATACGATGTTTTTGGGGTGTGACTGGGGAAGAGAAAGCCTTCAAAATAAGAGTGTTTCATGTACATGTTTTTTAGATAATAAAATTAAATGTGATATGTGTGTAGGCGGTATGAATAGGTCTATTAGTATGAGTACTAGTTGCAGTATAGTCAGTAATACGACTATAATAAGCTTCAACCCTCCTCTGACGGTAATCTGTTGATGAAGGGGGGTGGGCGGGGCTTAAAGGTAGACCATACCTGGTACACGCACGTCACCAGGTGCTGCAGGTATCCTCTCAGAAACTGTAACTACGTACATTTACTCAAGTACCTGTACTGGTTCTTGTACTTTACATAAGTATTCATTTTCATGCCAATTTCTACTTCTACTCCACTACATCTCAAAAAGAAATATACTTTTTACATCAATTAATAGAGAAAATAATTAGCAGATTAATGAAAATAATCATTAGTTAATATTTTAAAATGAGCTCCAGCTCAATCTACATAATGTAATGACATACTGTACGATAATATAACAGTCATAGACTACGTTTTCCTGATTACACTTACATATGTTTACTTAAGTGACATTTTCAATGTAGGACTTTTACTTGTGTTGGAGTGTTTACTTCAGTAAAGGAGCTAAATAAATACTTCCTCGTCCTCTGGTTATTGACAAGATGAAAGCATCAAAACACCCTTTTAGAAACCAGACACCGGGTCTATGATCTTTGCACTTGCTTGTCCGCCATCTTTTTTTTTTGTAAATCTTTAAATTTCTTTCTTTATGAAAGGTTGGTCACACTAACTGTGTCTGCCTTTAATTACTGTCGGTGAGGAGATTAAGCTCTAAACGTTGTCAATCTATCATGTTTTATTACTAATGAATGCACTGATTGTACTGTACTAATGAAGTACTCTAGGTATTAGTTGACTGGGAATACTTGCGGTTGACATTTGATGAAGCCGTTTGTCCTTCTCCTGCCGTGAGATAACACACAGACTACATTGCCCATCATGCTTTATGGCGCTCTGATTTCATTTTATTGTGTGAATGTCACTGTTTCATTTCCTCCACAGTGATAAGGACCAGACAGGAGCAATAACAACAACCATGGTGACCAAGAAAATCCGGACGGAGTACATGAAGAAGTTCAGGGATCCCAGATGGGAGACGTTCTCCAAATGTTACGAGGACTCTCTGAAGTACCGTCTGAGCCGGCGGGTGATGGAGCATTCCCACAAGCCCTGGTTCTGGGAGGGCTGGGACAGCAGCTCCGAATCCAGCGGCTGGTCCACGCCGAGGCTGAACAGGAACAAAATCGCCCCCCTGTCCCTCCCGCCGCCGGCCTCGGAGGTGAAACATAAGGTGGCCAGCCCCGGGTCGAAACCGCCTTCTGAGGAAGGACGGACTGAGCTTGGAGGAGGAGACGCAGACGTAGACGCTGCACCGACTGCCGGTGAGGAGACCGTTAGCGACACTAACTGTAGTTTTAATAACTGATCAAAAACCACATACATCAGTTACCAAGTAAAAGTGTTTCTTTTTGGACCGTTGGTCGGACTAAACAAGCAAGTTGAAGATCCCTCTTTTGTCTCTCAGAACCTCTGACGGGCATTCCCCACAAACCTATAATATAGTTTGATAAGTAGAATAAACAACATATTAATTGATCATAAGAATATTTGTCAGTATCTAATTTAAGCTTCATCAATCTGAGTTCAAGCATTCAGAAACTTTTACATATTTGGGGGACGCAAAATATTAGAAATATTAGAGGTGATTGTTACAATATCAATCAATCTATTGCTCAAAGCACCGTGAGCAAAACTGTCTTTTCTGTCGACGCTACTCTGGCGATTTATAGAGGAATGAAAATAATCACCGGTTGCAGCCCTGCTATCTTCATCACTCTGAGTTCAGGCGTTCTGAAACTCTAAATTAATTTGCGTTTAAAACCAAATGTTCAGTCAAGGACTCTAATCTCACCCGGGTTCGGGATTCATGTGAGAAAACAGGGATTTATACAACTGGCTATGTACTGTGAAGAGAATGTTCCCGCTGTTTCCTGTCCTCTCTTCCAGGGATATTTTTGGGATAATCTAACAGAACCCCAGGAGGAGTTCCTCTGTGTGTGTGTGTGTGTGTGTGTGTGTGTGTGTGTGTGTGTGTGTGTCACTCTGACTGTATAGAGGGCCAAAAGCTAGTTAAACTCAGGAGACACTGATGCTAAAAATATTTGGACTGAAGGTTCAGCGATCAGATGGGACTGTTTCCTCCCGTTCAGACACTGAGCGCAGATATAAAAGACCTACTGGGTCTCCAGACAGGAAGGTCTTTATACACAATATTCAACAATATGATAAACGGAAAACCAGCCAGTTATCATTGTGCACCAATAAATATTTAATCTTCTCAAAGTCACTTCTACATGACAAACAAACAAATAGACGGTAGAAATGCTGGTTGAAACTAGAGCAGAGACTTTTTGAATATTAATTTTGGTTAGTAGAAAATCCAATACGCCATGTAGCCAAGTGTAGTGATGTCACAGTATTGCCAAAGTTTTGACCTAAACTGAACGATACGTTGACCAAACAGACAAAGTGTACAAATCAATGAAAAATGTTTCTTTGGTAGAACGTTTGCCTCTGTGCCGCTGAGCTGCAGAGTTTGTCTGTGTGTGAACCAGCAGTTGTAGAAAACGGTGAGAACGAAGCCGGCGGTGATTCTGCGACGGCGGCTCCAAACCCTGGCGGATCCTCTGGGGACACGGACAACGGTCCCGCCGACACGACGTCCTCCGACGGGGAGCCGGTAAACCCGGTGCCAAAGCGACGCCCCCGCCGCCGCAACCCTCGGCCCGAGCCGGGACAGCGGGACAGTTCCCATGAAGATAAACCAGTCGTGGTCCGCAAAACGCCGAGAGCGAAGAGCCAACCGCCGATCAGCACCAAGGAGAAGGAGAACCAGAGGCCGTCCAGCCGACTGGACTGGACCGAGAGACACACGGACGTCAAGAGGACGCCGAATGACGTGAGTGTTGCAGTGAATGATTGAAGAGGCGCCGGATTATTTACACAATATTATCATGTTTGTTATTAACACGATATCAATAATTAATTTTTAAATATCCGAAAGCAGTGTTTTATGTTGGGTAGTTTAATCAATAACAACTAATCTATAATTACTCATATTTTATAAAGCGAGCGTGTGTTTTTTTGTTTGTTGATCTTTGAACAGACGACATCACATCACATCCTGGTTTTAGTTGATTTTAACATCTTACTCATCACTTTTAAAGCACGTCTGAGTGCTGGCCCCAAAACTTATATAGAAGAAATGTAGACCGCCTTAGATCCTCAGGTGGGGCCCTTCTGTCTGCTCCAAAGTCGAGGATGAAACCTAAAGGTGACCGTGCTTTTGCCTTCAGGACCAGTCGGCTTTGGAACCACCTGGCTGAGGATCCATCTATTGTTCTGTTTAATCAGGGTTTAACTCTCATCTTAGTTTGTTTTGCTTTGTTTAGGCTTCACTGTCTCTTTTTTAAAGGTGCTATGTAAAATAAAGTTATGGTTATAACGTTACATAAAAAGCAAAAGTGTTTGGATGTAAAGCTTTAATGAAGCCTGAGGAGTCTGTCAGAGCGGCCGGACCTCGTTCACAGGACACCAGAGAAGTGAAGCCGAGTCACCAGAAACTCTGCGGCCATTAATAATAAAACGCCGGTGTGCTTTTCGGAAATGACTCCTCTCTCTCTCTCTCTCTCTCTCTCTCTCTCTCTCTCTCTCTCTCTCTCCCTCCCTCTCTCTGGTTCCTCCTCTCAGAACAACACGTCCGACGCCTGCTGTCAGACCCGGCGGGAGTCCGACAAACGGAGCTCCAACCTGGACCGCCGGCGGGCTCGGTCAGCCGACCTGGAGAAGACGAGGCGGTCGCAGCTGACGGTGGTGGACGACCGCTGGATGACGGAGTACATGCGCTGCTACTCTGCCCGGCTGAGGTAGAAACGGGACCCCCCCCCCATGACCCCTGACCTCCACCACGTTTCCTTATCAGACGGTGGAACTGAAAACCATGTATGTCTCGTTAAAGTCCAATCAGGGTCCTTCAGAGTGAATCGCTGCTGTCGAAAAACAAACAACCAAGAAGTGTCTGAATTTAAAGTTTATGGTCATTTATTACTAAACTGTGTAATTTAAATATGAAGACATTCACCAAACTTTAAACAAGACGGGGTCCGTGATAGTGGACGCTTTGGATCACGGTTTAGTAATGAACTGAATCCCCATTAAATATCAAGTGCAGCTAAAAAACAACAGACATCTTTATATAATAAATGATTAAAAAGTCTTTATTTAACTTAGAAATATCATTAAAACAGCGTGAGGACCTACAGAGTTTTGTTTAAACTTCTCTCCGCTGATAAAACACACATTTTTGATACAAAATCTGATTTTAAACGATAAGTATTTTCATTTCAAGTTACTATTTCCTCTTAAAATACACTTGTCAAGGGTTGATTGCAGTATTCTGCATTGTTCAAAGGCCCTTCATACTTAACTGCCTAAATGTGTTTGTTTTGCTCGACAGCAGCGAAACAAACTGAACCGGAACAGTTCGGTTCCTCGGGTGTGACGGACTGAAGCTGTTTGATAATGAACAAACATCGGAGAGAATTGACTCTTTCTGAGCTTTTTGAATGTACTTCATTTATAAGCATGAAAGCCTCCAAACAAACTGCTTCATTTCTTTATCGTTGTTTAGTTTTCTTCCTTGCGAGGCAGCTGTGAGTGTTTATAACTCAAAGGCAGCAGAAACGGACCAAACCGGAGTATTTTTGATATTTGACTACTTTGGATGTCAAGTTTAGATTAGAATAAACTACAAAATAAGATTTATCAAATGACATGAGAAGTGTTTAAGAAGTGTTTTCTGAGTAGAAGCTATATTTAAGATGCGCTGCCTTTATAACAGTCTCAGATTTAATTGTGTTTTTCTTCATTGAGATGCAGCTTCTGGTTTACATTGATTTTAACGAGGAATACTCTGCTACGCTGACAAAACTTAATTCTCTTAATTCACATGTAAGACCAACAGATTCAATAACAGAAGGAGTCGAGCTCAACTTCTTGAGGGTGATTATGCAAAAGTAAACTCTTAATTTAAAGTTTCAGGGACTCTGTGAGATTAATTTAAATGTAAAACCATAATATTATTAATTCATGTTGCTTAAAACAGCTGAAGAGGAGTTGCTTGTTCGCCTGGAATGAAGACTGACGAATTAATAAACTTTTAATTATAAAGCAGCTTTACAAATGATTGACAAGAGGAAACTGGAGAGAAGATGAAAAGACTAATGCACACAAATTAAGAAAAGAAAATAAATGTTAATGAATAAATAGAATACAACACAGAGTACATTGATCACGGTAAAACAGTAAAGAATAAATAAAATAAGAGCGAAATGAAACATGAATAACATAAAACCTTAATATTCAGATAATTTAAAGCTTATAATGTGATGTATTTAATGAGTGATCTGCTTAAACGCCTCATTTACTTTTTATTTAACAGGTTTGTCTTCTTCTAGTTCAATGTTTTTTTTCCCTGTTAAATAAAAATGTTTTGAAAAAATCACATAATTTATAAAGAAATGAATGTGCTTGAATATCAGGGTGTCATTTTTAAATACAATAAATAAATAATCAGTGGTTCAAACATTAATTGTAAAATTATTGAGAAATTACAGTAAAATAATGTTTTTGTTGCAGTTTGGTGTTTAGATACAGCGACGGGATGAAAAGGGGAAAAAATAAACGTTTGTATGGAATATATTATAAGTTTTAATCGATTTTAACACCTTAGCGCCTTGTTGCGTTTGACGTTTAGACTTTATCTGTTTAATCAAACTGACGGACTCAATCACCGGTTTTTGACTGATCGATGAAACTAACGATTGTAAAAACATGCTGATGTCAGCGTCGCGTCCCGTGACTCAACCCGAGGGCTAAAGTTCACGATGTGTTTCTACTTGATGTACAGTTTGTGAGAATACTTTTGAAACTGAATGCATTTAAACTCACTGAGAATGTTTATTGATTTTAACACCGGCTGAACCTCGTCACTCTGAATGTGCAAAACTATTTGTTTATCTTTTTATTTAATATTATTCTTCATACTCAGAAGTGTCCAGTCTGAAACAACACAGTGCCGTTACTTTACTTTAACTACACGCACCAGTCTGTGTTGCTATTTATGTTTCTGTTCAAAGTTAAATCCTTTTGAACTCCTGATATGACTTTACTCACATGTTCGCTCTTTATCAGAACAGAAATACAAACATCCAACTCTGAACATTTGCTGTTTTTGGGGGAAATTTTGGAATATAGAAAATGAGAAAATGTAACGTTTGAAAGAAGATTACCCTTTTTTAAAACCATCAAAATAATCAAAATGGCCACAAAATATCAACTTCTTCAGGCATTTCAAACATGCTTTTCGTCTGGAAGTGAAACTTATATGTGGTTTTAAACTGGACACGCGGACGTCTTCACGTCTCTTCATGTCTTTACTTTAGTTCGTGGCTCTGATGTCTTCAGCATCAACAATCTGACCTTTGTTTCTGTGTCTGAGACTCGTGAAGCGTTGATCTGGTTTCACTAAAACGAGATAAAACCGTCAGTCAGAGCTGCAAATTACTTAAAAGAAGTCTTATCCTCTTTATATTTAAAGCTAATTAAAATCCTGACAGACTTACACATTCCACATCGGCTTATTTCCCTCCACAGAAGCTGTATTTCACTGAGTAAAACCTTTTGTTTCTTACAGCTTTCAAACATATTCGGCTTCTTTTGAAACTTTGGCAGCTCAACTAGAATTACTAGAAGCAATAAAAGGTTCGTGAGTTTGAACAATGTTTGGCTGCAGAGCGTAAGTTCAGGTCTTCAGAGGGGCTGAAGGGGTTAAAGGAATATGTGATGATAGATTCATGAAGTGATGAAATATGACAGATTATATTTTAAGAAAACTGATTTTGAAGAGATTTCCACATTTAGAAGCAACTTTAAAACCTCAAAACAAACATGAAATTAGAAGTTCTTATGTTTAAAAGTTCAGCAGAACAATAAATATTTAAACATTTGGGAAAAATGAATCTACAGAAAGAGATTCTGACAGATATACTAATTGTGTTATTTTAAATAGTTATAAATGTTTCTTTAGAAGAAAAAACAAAGCTTGTGAGAAATCGTCTCTCGGGTGTGAAGACGACATTAAACAGATAAACTGTTCAGTATTTGATACTTTGTGTTTTTCTTTGTTTGGTTCCTGATGAGTCCAGACGTTTCAGACAATCACGGTAAAATATGAACTAGATAAATCGGCACTAAACTATATGTTTATGTGAGGAGTTTGTGAAATTCACTGTTGACTTTGATTTGCTTGCTGTATCTACTAAAGCTTTGAGTTAGTGTGGTTTATTATCATCATGTTATGTTATAATATTGATTCATATTTTATCTCAGACTGTTTACATTTTTGGTCACTGTATTTGTATTTGAAAACATGCACTACTACATAAATATATATATATTTTCATCCACTTTGCTGTGAGTAAATCATATTTGAATAAAAATCTGATTTGAATAGTATACATGTCTAGTATTTGAATATTGTATTTGTCATATTATTCATCTGCATCACTAATGAGATGTAGTAGAGTACTTGTACTTAATAAACTTTAACAAGACTTTTTTTTTTGTGGAAGGTGAGTGACGATGCATTCAGGGTCTTCACAGAGGTCTAAGCGCTGCACTCTGCTGGACAAAAGAAACCGACCTGTGGTTCGTTGAAGTCGTGTTACAGCCTGAGCTGAGCTTCAGTGACGCTTTAAACCTTTAATCCAATCAGAGGAGTGGCTCGGATCAAGACGCCCGACAGTTAAACACGTCAGTCCGGGTTATTTGGTTGTCGTGATCAGGACTTAAGATTTCAGTCTTGTGTGATTTACAAATTATATTCGAGTGAAAATAAAATATGCTCAGAGTTCAGTCTGGAACTGGTATTCAGGATTGTTCTCCATTGTATATATCTCACTCACACTCACACTCACACACACACACACACACACACACACACGAGAACAATTGTAATACTGCATTATTTCTCTGGGAACGTCGTCACAGACACAAAGTTCATAATACTGCAAATATACAGATTATGAAATACTTTCACTGTGCGTTAGATAGACATACCTGAGATAGAAAGTGACCGAACAGACTTAGAATTTAACTTTAAGTGCGTCTTCCCTCACTAACTGGTTGTTTTGGTCTTTAGTCTACAAACTTTTATTTATGCTGAACGGCTTATTTACAAGAACCGTATCATCATCACATTGTTTGTGGTTTGATTATTTGTGGAGAAAGTCGGTTGATTGGTTGACAGATGGAAAAGTGTTACTGTCACGAGTGATGAATCCCTTTCTTCTGATGAATTATCTTTTACTATTTCTGACTAATCTAGTCTCTCTGTCCGAAGCAGAATAGTGATATTGGGAATGAGAAAAAAATAAAAAACATACAAGAGGAAATCTGATTAAAATGTCTGTACATTTGTGTATTTACAGCATAAAAATGGAAACGTTTCAAACTGAAACAAAATGCTGTAATATCATAACCGACGAGTTAAAAACATTTTCTCAACAACTCAAAAACAGAGCGTCAACATCAGTATGAGGAAAAACAAATAAAAAGTTAATATCATCATAAAATATATACAAATTCTCTGCAAAAACGAGAAAAAAAAAGAAAAAAAAAACACTGCAAAAAAACTTTGTAGATAAAAAGTAAACTGTGATCATGAGGGGAGTCCTGCAGCGAGGATGCTTCCCAGCAGCGTTCGGTCCTTCAGAGCGTTTTCAACGTCTTTCTCCTCGATCTTCAGAAACACCTGCAGGAAGAAAGACGTCTGAGATTAAATCCTCGACTTTAGGATTCACAGGTAACACACGGGGCAGTTTGTGAGTCGAAACCAGAACATAAAACGCACAAAAAGCAGCCTGGAAAGCTACAGAGCGACGCGACACTATTTTCTGGCATCTCCACCCTTTTGAGATCTTTCCTGCCGAGTTGATAGTTGAACTCTTTGATCTCCAAGTGTACCTTAGTGAGACGAGCCTCTTTGGCTTTCTTCAGAGAGAAGATTCCTCGACTCTCCAGCAGACCGCAGAGAGACAAACACTCTCCCTGACCAACAGCGGACACCTGCCGCTGGGCGCACAGACGGCTGTAAACCTCGTGGAGCTGAAACATGAAACACAGAAAATCAGTTTCACACTTTGTCTAAAGTTTAAATGACCTGAGCTAAAGCGACACCTGCTGGACATTTGAACTACAGCAGCTGAGGAAAGGAATTAGGTTATATTCCTGTATATCTGTGTATAGTAACGTTAGCTCTACTGTAATGTATTTTACTCTTATTTTGCAGGATGAAATAATGAGATGTTATTGTCTCAGTATCGTGCAAACATCTACTTTGGTCTATTAAAAGCATTTTTTTCATTTGAACACGAACCAGTTGAGTGACTCACCTTCCCGAGGACGATCTCTCTGCTCTTCCCGTTGCGCGTGAGCAGCAGCAGGCAGCAGACCAGCAGCTTCTGCTGCAGCGGGAAACTCTCTCCGTCTGCGCCACCGCACCGAGACGCCATCCGGTCGCCGTAAACCTCCGACAGCACGCGCGCCACCTGAGGAAGGCTGACCCGCGACGCTGCACGAGGACAGCGAGTGGTTCGAGTTGTTAGCGTTCACGGTTCTTGAGAACGTTCGCACCTTTTCTTTTAACCATAATTCCTCAGTGAACGGAGGAGAAACTCACCTTTCGTTTCAGCTGTTGGATCCGACGCTTTCTTCCTCTCGTCAGACTCCACAACCTCAACCGCTCTCCTGAAATAAAAACAATCGAATGTCAAACAAACGCAACTCTAGACTTCAGGAACTCAAAGAATCAAAACAGGAAGACAAACATACTTGATCCAAAAGGTTTGTTAAGATTTTCACCATCTTCCTAAATTAATATTTTATTATGATGAACCACATAAATAATGATCAGATCAAAAGGCAACACTGGCAGATTTAAACTAAAGCAAAACAGCTTATGCTCTTAAAAAAAAAAAAAAAAAAACCACCAAGGTTGAACTTTACTTTGGCGGGAGAAACTCGTACCTGCAGATGTCCAGAGCTTTCCTGGCGTCTCCCGACACCGCCGACACTTTTCTGGCACAAAACTGAACCGCCGAGGCGTCCAGGATCCCTTCAGCCGACGCCTGAGAGGAGCAGCGGCAAAACAAATCAAGACAATCACACACACACTCGTGTTTTACTTTGTTCAAGATGTTGAATCTCAGTCTACCTGAGAGAGCCGGTCCTGGACGATGGCCGTGAGCTCCTGCCGGCTGTAGGGAGGGAAGTGTAGCAGCAGGGGGCGACAGTGAGGCCGAGCCTGCAGTCGGGGGAGGATGCGGTCGGTCAGATCCAGAGCGTTGGCGATACCTGAAAAATAAAAATATCTTTATTCATGTCCTTTAGTTTAGACACAACACAGAATGTCTCTTTACACCGCTGATAAAGATTATAATAAAACACTCGCATAGAATCACATTTAAATGTCTTCGCTCGTGTATTTTACAGCCGATGCGTTATTGTTGGCGGGTGAAGCTCTTACCGACGAGACAGAGGCGAGACTTCGGCAGGTACGGCCACTCAAAGATGGTGTAGAGGACGTCCTGAGCTTTACTGTCCAGCTGGTCCATCTCATCCAGAACTAGCAGCCTGAGGACCAAACAGAGTCCCGGTTATTGATCGGATCAGAACCTCACCGAAGCAGAAACGACACGGAACCAAACAAACGCAGTTCTTCTAAAGTCTTAACCAGCAGTTGTTCAGTATTTGCAATTTGTACTTAATTATTTATCATCTGCTTTGCTTTATTCCATTACGAATGTTGACGAATTCAATTTGTTATTAAACTAAAAGACTTCTAGAGGCGGAATGTTCCCCCAGTGACCAGCTGCATCACATATCTGGTTCTCTGTGGTTCCTCAGAACCGGGTCGGGTTACTCACACAGCGGGCCCCGGGGCCGTCAGGAACCTCTGCAGCCCGTTCTGCCCACCGGGCGCTCTCAGCTTGTCAGCCAGCAGCGGGAAGACGGCGTGGGAGCTCCGCAGACTCATACAGTTGACCAGCACCGTTTGAACGGACGCCAGCTCGGCCTGTTAAAAACAACATAAAAACACTGAATGATAATTATTATTATTATCTAAACAGGAAGCAGATCGATACAACTTTCTCTTCATGGTCTTATCTCAAGAAAACTAAACCTGTAACGAACACTAAACTTCATTGTGATCAAATCTCTCCAGCGTGTTTATTTCTTCCACTCTCCTGTAGAACCGAGTACACGTGGTAATACTTCATCTTAAAAGTACTCTATTACAAGTAAGAGTCTTAATTAAATTACATGCATCATCATCATCAAAATATACTTTAAGTACCAAAAGTACAAATTATGCAGATTGGTCCATTTTAGAATCATGCAGTGACTTAAAGTCTCCAGTAGTTGTCACTGCAGCCTCCAACATCTACTTTCACTGTTAACTACTACTACTACAGTAAGATACCCTCACTACCATAAGTACTACTAAAGTACCTTCATCTCCTGCAGCACACAGTTGAAGCAGGCCGTCTTGCCGGTTCCCGGGGCTCCGGAGATGTAGAGGCTGCCGGGGAGGTGCCGCAGGGCCTTCTCCTCCAGGAAGGAGCGGATGGATGCCCGCTCGGCCTCCCGGGACAGGAGCCGCTCGGGGACGGCGGTGTGGAGCGCCTGCTTCACGCTCACAAACCTCGACTCTGGAGGAGAAAGGAGAAGTGACGGAGTGAGCGACGCTGAAGTCAAATTCATCCTCGTTTAATGATCAGATCCCTGCAGCTGGATTTACATCTGTGAGACGGAGTTAGCTGCGGACATTTGCCACTTAATTAATACTAATCATTTTGGATTATACAACATCTGAAAATGTCCATCACAGTTGCCCAAAACCTGAAGTGAAGTCTGCAGACTTCTTTTTGTTCAGCAGATCAAAACAAAAAGAATTCTGTTTGTAACGACGCAAATCAGCTAAATCCTCACGTTGGAGAAGCTCCTCCAACACTTAAGGCTTAAAAACACATTTCAACAAATAAACACTGAATATTGTTTCTGTGATATTACACGGAACATATTTGGGTTTTGAAACAACAAAACAAGACATTTAAATCGAGTCAATTCGGGCTCTGGGAACCTGTGATCTGTTATCTTCTGGACCAAAACGGAAGTAAACACAACGGCTGGATTATTAACACACGTCGTCTCTTACTTTCTCCAAAGAGCCGAACGACCGGCGGCCTCCTCTCTGGTTTCTGGTGTGCCGGGCTCCCGGTGGGCGTTTCTTGGCGCCTCGGAGACAATCCGGCGGCGGGAGACAGCGGTCGCAGCGGCGACGAGGACGGGACCAGCCGCCGGCGAGCCGAGACCGGCGAGTTCTCGTCGGAGACCGGCTTCCTGGGCGAAGCAGGGGTCGGCTTGCTCTGCTTGGGCGGCGAACCCAGCAGGGTGACGCCGAGGTTACAGACGTTTTCATCACCTGGAGATTTAAAAAAAAAAATAAATAAAAAATACAAAAGAGTGATGACGTTGATGAAGAGGAAGACCTCGAATATAATAATCAAAGCCAAACAACAACAAAGCGGCCAAAACCAGAACGTTTGTGAACAAACGTGGATATTTGCGACGCTGTAAATAACGTCACGGATTAAATATTTGGTATAAAGCTCAACGACTACCAGAATGATGTTGTTTGCTCATTAAAAAAAAAGCAACTTCCCCACAACCACGCACCACCTTTAGAGCTTTGTAACCCTCATATAGACGGGTGATGGGAGCTAAATTCTCTCCGGTGCTCACCTGTGCGTTTTCGGGGGCTGAGTGGAAGCCGTGGCTGGAGGGCCGGAAGTGAGAGGGGAGACGGGCGGCCGGCCGGTAGTTTGGGGGAGAGCAGTCCGATCCGGGTCGTTACGGGCTGCTGGGGTCCGGGCTTGGCCGGTGACGGCGCTGGAGGAGATTTGTCCAGCTGGGGCGTCTTGGACGAGACTCTGCAGGATTTGCGGCGCGGGAAGGAGAGCGTGGGCTGAGCCCGGCCGTTAGAGCGCGTACTCGGCATGTTGTGTTCACTCTGAAACGTGACAGATCGATTAATACACACACAGGGAACGCCTGGAGACGTGAAGTTATCCGTCAGGTACCACAATATTTAATGTTTACCACAATGTATTTTGTGTTTTATTTCAGTTCGTTACTGTTGTTTCCATTCGACTACAAGTACTTCAGATTTTAAATCATGCAAATATACTTCTTTACTTTAATGAGCACACACCAAATGTTGCTTTATCTTTCTGTATTTGTCTGAGATGAAGACTCTGCAAACTAAAAAGGTACTGAAAGAACATTTAGGCACCAATAATATACTACATGTATATACTAAATACTACAACATATCATACAATGGCAGCTGTTGACTTACGGCTGTGGTGGTGAAAGTAAATGTTTTAAGTAAACGTAACAATACTTCAGTGTTGAAATACTTCATTCAAAACTTAAGTAAAAGTACAAAAAGTAACAGCATTAGTAAATGCACTTAACAAAGTACAAGTACTCATTGTGCAGAATAATGCATATTATTATAGTGATGCAATAATGTGTTCATCACTTGGTAAAGGTAGAGCTCATTACTTTACACACTTCTGGGTAGTTTATTATATCATCTGTAACTAAAAGGTATCACGTAAATAGAGTACAATATAACACAAAATAGAAATACTTAAGTGAAGTACAAGTAACTTAAAGTCGTAATTAAGTATAGTACTTAGTAAATGTACTCGGTTGTGTCCCCAAATGGTTTACAGCACGGTTATTGTAATTGAAAGATTACAATAAAGTTTCGGTATTTTGAATGTAGCTCCTTCATGTTTAACCAACATATACTACAACATGGGAATCTATACTATAACTGTAACGTGTGTAGAGTTCGTAAAAACTTATCCAGCAGGTATATTATATATAATATATATTTATTTACAGTAAAATACCAACAGAACAAACAATGCAGCGTGGTTGTTAAATGGCGCCAAGACAGCAGAGGTCCAAACGGATGATTTTACATAAAATATACTCACATTTCGGGATTTACATGACTGCAGTTTAATCGGAAACATATTACGGTATTATGAGAATATTTCTGCATAAGTGGAACGAAGTAATTGTTGTATTTTAGACGCTAAACTAGCAAACCAACTCTGAATAGTAGAAGAAGAACTCTCTTCCGGTTACGATGCACAAACATATTAAACGTTTCCCGGCTTATATTAAAGCGTTAGTGACAGCTTTACCTTTTTAAACGTTGTGAGAAGTGTTCCCAGCTGAGAGCAGAGTGTTTCCTCTCGTCTTTAAGTCCTCTGCGTGTCTCTATCCGTCTGTCTCCTTTCGCACACTGAGCTCCAAACTAGCGCCAATTCTCCTCCTGGGCAGCTGTGCGCCACGTCACCGCGCTCTGATTGGTCCACTGAAGGTGACGCAGCAGCTTCGCCGACGCTGATTGGCTCAGCGTTGTAAGGGGGAAGTTACGTCAGCGCTTGAGAAGCCGGGCAGGATATGTGGCGGGAGTTTCAATAGAACACTGTTTTTTGGCGGATTATATTTTCCCGGGAACTTCAGTTGTTGTTTTGTTACATCCGTCTGTGACGTCCCGAATTTTAAGTACCAGAGTCCATTTAAAATATCCCTGTTTTAAAGGTAACATTACATAAACTCGGGCAGTAGAGAACGATGCAAATTTACCCAGAATAGTTTGAGGAAACAAACAAATAATCAGGAAAGTTACAAGAAACTTCATAATTAAGTCTGTGAGTGAGGTGGAAATATTTCTGATGATGGTCCGACTTGTTGCCGTGAGAGAATGATACTGAGGTAACCCAGTGACTCCTTTATGTTCTACAAAATACTACCTCCCTCTTATCTCTCTACCTCTCCCTCCCTCTCTCTCTCTCATGATGCCCATCCACCGTGATTGGCTAGTGATGGTCTTGTACTTAAGGGACAACACCAAGGCCCAGAGAGTGATACAAGCTCCTTATGCTACATCAGCAAACATCCCAGTATGATTTAATGCAAAAAATTAAGGTATCAGACGCATTACTACTTTGCAGTTAAATATTTAACATTTATTCCAACACGAAAAAAGCAGGAAATAACACTTTGATAAACACGTCAGGACATCTTATAGTTGTCACTCTCACAGGGAATTCAGTATAATATAAAACACACACACATATATATATAATAGAACATGTGTATTTATTGAGATGCCCCTATGGACCTTGTTATAGGAGGTAAAGATCAGGAGAAGTAAACATGAAGTGTAATTTTGAATACTGATGTTAAATTAAGTTATGATGAGTTTTCACTGTTAATTTACCATCTCAGTTACATTTTGATGCCTCCATGACCAAGTTAAGCAGATGAGACTGAGGACAACTATGTAGAAGAAAAGATGTTCACTTTCCCTAATATGTAGCTTGACAGAGTTCTCCATGTGTGTCCTGGTGTTCTCATGTTTCCTTACCTCCTCATCCCTCACTCCCTACCCTGGTGTTCTCATGTTTCCTTACCTCCTCATCCCTCACTCCCTACCCTGGTGTTCTCATGTTTCCTTACCTCCTCATCCCTCACTCCCGTTACTCTCCATGCTGGATCTGTCCCGTTGTTTTAAAAAGCTAAATAATGCATGAGCATGACATCATCCAGCTAGCCAAACCTTTCTGTGGTACAGGTACTAGAGAAGCTTCGCATGTACTGCTAGTCTGCTGTCTGATTGTGAGGTCAGGTTGATCTGGGATCAGCTCTTTCTCCGCCAAAGTTCTCCTCTCAAACGGGTCTGAATCATCTTCAGATGGTTTAACGTTCAAAACACACAAAAAAACAAGAAAAAGGAATGAGAAGGAAGTTAAACTGGTGTTTGAATGTCAGGGTGTTCCTCAAAGAGGCAGTAAAAGCTCGTTCACAGAGCTTCACTGAGAGGAGGAGCAACTGTGAGAGAGGAGAGCTGCTGAGTCACTTCTCCTGAAGTGAAAGTGAAAGTTAGTCTGAGCGACAGCAGAGCTGCAGTCCAGACAAGTCTCTCCGTTTCTCTCTAAAGAAACATTCAACTGAATCCAGCAGCTTCTTCTCAACAACAGAGTCTCCGACACACTCTGGTGAGTTCACTGTTCTACAGAGAAACTCAACATTTGGTCAAAAGTGAGTTCAAACCAGGATCCAGAACAAAGAACAAAGTAGCAGCAGATAAGCTAGGCCTGCTAGAAGCTAACTAGCCTAGCTGCTGCTCCCTTTGGATTGTCCAAACACAGAGAACAGCATCTGATTTAATGTGTGGATGTATTTATTGATTATAGAGGAACAACATTGATGTGTTGTAACTTACATAACTGTTCTGTACTTTGGTAAATATCCTTGAACTGTAAAGCCTTTCCTCTAAAGGTCACTGTCTCTGTAGTTCCTGCTGTCTGTCTTTGTGAGGAAGTTCAGCTGATAATATTTACTGTGTTTCAACTCAAACACTTCAGCTCGACTCAGACAGGACGTTCAACTCACATTCAACCTGAGGTCCAAACATGTCAGTAAATAGTAATGTGTTCAATATAAAAGTGGAATTAAAGATGATTAGGCTCCTTACAAATGATATAAATTCACTCTGATAATATATAAGCAGCAGGGTAGCAGTATTATTATTTAATATGTGATGTGACAGTGATGGAGGATCACTCTGTGTGTTTAAATTCTATTTAGTGAGCACCTTTCTAAAGTACTCAAACCCTCTTCTGTAATGTTCCTCTACAGTAGGTGTCTCCAGGACACATTCCACCATGATGACACACTGTTGCTGCTGCTGAAGATGTGATAACAGTTTGTTTTCTCACTCTTGTTGTCCTCAGAGTGTAGATATGTCTGCTGCCAGCTATCTGCTGACTGAAGATCAGTTTCTGTGCTCCATCTGTCTGGATGTGTTCACTGATCCAGTCACCATACCATGTGGACACAACTTCTGTAAAGCCTGCATCACTCAACACTGGAACGTTAATGTCCCGTTTCAGTGTCCAAACTGTAAAAAGCTTTTCTACACCAGACCTGAGCTGCAGGTCAACACTTTCATCTCTGAGATGGCTGCTCAGTTCAGACAGTCAGCTCAACAGAAAGCCAGCAGCTCAGAGCAACAAGAGTCCAAACCAGGAGAAGTTCCCTGTGACGTCTGCACTGGAACCAAACTGAAGGCCCTGAAGTCCTGCCTGGTGTGTCTGGCCTCCTACTGTGAGACTCACCTGGAGCCTCATCTGACAGCTTCACGTCTGAAAAGACATCAGCTGATCGACCCTGTGGAGAACCTGGAAGACAGGATGTGTACGAAGCACGATAAACCTCTGGAGCTGTTCTGTAAGACCGACCAGATGTGTGTCTGCATGCTCTGCACTGTTTTAGACCACAAGATGCATGAGTTTGTTCCTCTGGAAGAAGAATATGAAGGAAAGAAGGCCGAGCTGGGGAAGACTGAGGCTGAAATCCAGCAGATGATCCAGAAGAGACGAGTGAAGATTCAGGAGATCAAACACTCGGTGGAGCTCAGTGAGGAAGATGCAGACAGAGAGATAGCAGATGGTGTTCAGGTCTTCACCGCTCTGAAGGAGTCTGTTGAGAGAAGCCAGGCCGAGCTCATCGACACGATCAAAGAGAAGCAGAGAAAGACAGAGAAACAGGCTGAAGGCTTCATCAAAGAGCTGGAACAGGAAATCAAAGAGCTGAAGAGGAGAAGCACTGAGGTGGAGCAGCTCTCACACACTGAAGACCACCACCACCTGCTCCAGAGCTTCACGACCCTGAACACTGCTCCAGCCACCAAGGACTGGACAGGAGTCAGAGTCAGTCCACCTTCACATGAGGGGACTGTGAGGAGAGCTGTGAACCAGCTGGAGGAGATGCTCAGTAAACAGATGAAGAAGCTGTTTGAGGTCAAGCTGAAGAGGGTCCAGCAGTCTGCAGTGGATGTGACACTTGATCCTGATACAGCACATCCTACTCTCATCCTGTCTGATGATGGAAAACAAGTTAAACTTGGTGACATAAAGAAGAATCTCCCAAACAATCCAGAGAGATTTGATTATTGTGCTATTGTCTTAGCAAAGCAGAGTTTCTCTTCAGGAAGATTTTACTTTGAGGTTCAGGTTAAAGGGAAGACGTGGTGGTCTTTAGGAGTGGCCAGAGAGTCCATCAACAGGAAGGGAATCATCACACTGACTCCTCAGAAAGATTGCTGTACGATAAGGTTGATTAATGAGAATCAGTACGTTGCTCTTACTGACCCTCCAGTCTGTCTCTCTCTGAAGTCTCAGCCTCAGAAGGTGGGGGTGTTTGTGGATCATGAGGAGGGTCTGGTCTCCTTCTATGACGTTGATGCTGCAGCTCTTATCTACTCCTTTACTGGCTGCTGCTTCACTGAGAAACTCTACCCATACTTTGATCCTGGTTTTAATGATGGTGGTAAAAACTCTGCTCCTCTGATCATCTCTCCTGTCAATCACACTGAGTAGAACAAACACTTGATCTTCTACAGAGAGACTCTTTCATTTAATGTAACAAATCTATATTATTGGTGATTTACGGTGTAAACTTTTTTGATTTTGATGTTTTTTTCTATTTGTCTGTAAATGTGTTTCTACTCCAACACACAGACATTAAGCCACTGATTGATATTATATAATGTCGTCTAATTCATTCTAATAACTGCATAACCTGCCTTCAAGACTGTTGAATCATCAAAAACAATGTACTCAGGAATAAGAAGCATTTATATATATATACACATTATGAATACTGACACACATTATTGGATAAAGTCATGTACCACTTATTATTTAGTTTAATAAAAGGTGTATAAATCCTCTTGCCACTCTGACGGCCAGCGGGCGGGCCGTCAGAGTGATAACGGCATATTTTTGTTATGCATACAACTGCCCTATAACGATGAGTATTAATGTGATATCTCATTAGAAAGCTACGGTTCTTGTAATTCGATTTATGCAAACCATTTCAAGATACAATAACAACAGCAGGTACAGTTAACGTCTCTGTCAAACAAGCACTCCAAAAATAGCCGATAAAATATCGCTGTGACTCACCGATTATGATCCATAACGTCCCCCTTGTGCATGCTAGTCCAGCAAAAACGGTCTTGCCAGGTGGCTAAGGGTCCACTCGATTGAATCCAGTACAAGATTTAGTCCAAAACACATTAGTACGTCCATAAAGACCCACGGGGGGCTGTTGCATCATTTCAAATTAGCCAGCAGATATGATAACTCGGATCACATTTCGGGCATAACTTCACGTTCTGTGTCAACAAAGCAGAGATTTTCACCGCAAAATGGAGGCTGCGTTCCGCCAGTTAGATTGACACCTCATT